AGCAGGAATATTACGTGAGGTGTAACTTTGTTCTGTACCTGAGGAGCTATCAAGGAGTTGCAGTTGGCACTCAGAATTTCCCTCTGTTTCTAATGGGCATTGTTTCTTTGGTGCTTAGTTATTGGGGATAAACCTACAGTGCTGCTTCATTTTTTTCCACCCATGATGTCCTTTGGGATGGAAGGGTAATTCTGCATCCCAATATTCAGGGATATTTATTTTTCCTCTCCAAGGATGCTGGTTCAGTGTAGGCTTTATCTGTTAAGGGAGAGCTGATATTTGGGTTGGTGGGCTTCTGTTCATTGAATGGGGTGTTTCTTTCCATTGTTTAATTAGCAGCCTTTTGGTTAAAAAACTTAAAAGCCAAGAGCTGGGGTTTCTCATATCCCCAGTTTTGCCTAAACAGGGCACTTCATCCAGCCACATTGATTTTGTGCTTAGTGGAATCTGTATGCAGGGAAATGCCAGCACTTACCAATTGTCCACAATTTGTAAACTAATTGAGAGATAAATCAGCCTAGCCCCTGCCACCCTCCTGGCACTGTAAGAAACACCCTTTTCAGAGATTGCATTTATACAATAACTTAGTGGGGGTTAAAATATCCCCCCGTTTTGCTGGGATATGCCAAAAACCCCTCGGATCACCACAGGGCACTGCCAGTGTAGTCCCTGGATTTGCTGCCACTGAAGGCAGGTTCCCATGTGACACAAGGAGGATGCTCCCTGGCTTTGTGTTCAATAGCAGCTGGGAGCCAGGGGAAGGTAATTGGGGAGATGAATCTTGGAACAGTGCTGTGCAGCAACCTGGGGAGCATATGCTGAGCATTATCATCCCTTGCATTGTTGCTTCTGATTTCCAGCACTTACCCTGATTATATCAGGGTTTTTTTCTCAGGCACCTAAAACTTCTAGCACATCATTTCCTTTTGTTAGTTGGCCTCTATTTTTCTCTTTAGTGCTGCCACAATTTCCATTACAGCTGGTTTATGCCATTAAAGTCAGTAGTAAAATTGATTGGTACCTTAAAGCAGAGCTGTGTTCTGACCCTGGGAGGGTTCATGCCTTAGTGAGCTCATCTGGTGCCTGACGCTGCGCAGGAGCGATGCTGCCACCTTCATTACACCCCTTTTATCTGGGGAGGTGGAACCTTGGAGCTGCTTTGGATCTGTAAATCTGTCATAATTACCACCAAATGATGAGAAGGTGGAAAGCTGCTGTTCTGCTTTCAGGCTCTCATCTGATGCCAGCCTTACTGCAGCCTTGGGAGCTTTTGCAGGTCTCTGGGATGGGACCTCAGCACTCCTGTCTTTTCCTTATTTACAGGAACAACTGCTCAGGGTCACAGCCTGAATTTCTAATTTTTGGCAATGCTTTGCATTTCCAAGGATTGCAATGCTTAGACAAGGTGCTGCTCACACCAGAGACGTCAGATGCTTGCAGCCAGGAGGTGCTTAGAGCTGATTTTGAGTGCAGAGAAGGGCTGTGCTTGGCAGTATGTGTACAGCTCTGCCACTGATGTGTGCGTGGGAACTGCTGGACCTCATGGACATGTCAAATAATTGCTCCTCTCCATGCCCAGGCTCCCACAAGCAGACTGGGATGGAGCTGAGGGTGGCTGGTAGTGGGCTCTTGCTGACTGGAGCATTCACAGCAGCTTGCTCCTCATTCACCTTGGGAGCAGTCACCAGGGTTGGGCTGGAGGCTGGAGGAGGTTTTTGATGGGCAGTCATACATTGAACACCCTTTGTAGGTTTTTTGCATTTTGGAATCATTCCTCTTGGCTGTATGAAGTGCTCCCAAGCCTGCCTGGTAGTGTAAACATTACTGTTTACCATTCACATTGTCTAAGATTTCCATTAGTTGGGATAATCACAGAATATCCTGAGCTGGAACAGACCCACAAGAATTATTGAGTCCAGCTCCTGACTCCAGTGGAGATAAGATCTGTGAGCTGACCATGAGCACTGGATGGATGAATATTTTCCTCCTGCAGTGTTATTCCATAGTTACCCACAACAGGGTGGATTGTGTGGTTTTCTCTGGTCTATTCAGGAATCAGGGTCAAACAGGCTTTTGGTCTAAGCTGCTTTGGCAAACACTGTGGCACCCCAAAAACACATGTTGCATTGTGGAAACAGTGGAGAAAACAGGACAAACACACCGAGCTGCCAAGCAGGAGGTGCCAGGGGAGTGGAGCTGGGAAGCTGCCAGCTTCTGCAGATGAGAGTCATGCAGAGGGTAATGTGAAAGCATTAGTACAACAATTTGGTAAAATCCACCGATTGAAAACAAATACAAAGGTACCTCCTTTCTGCAAATTCTATTAAGAGGTATAAACAGGTTTCATGGTGCAAGGCAGGATAAAGAAGTGGCATTGCAGCAATAATATCACTGATAAAATGTCAAGTGGGATCTAAGTTGGCACACCAAGGATGTCTTTCCATTGGCAATGGGAAAAAAGCTCTGCCCCTGAGGGCTGTCACTGGTGGTTCGTATGAAGCTGGAGCTGCTGGCATTGCCTGTCTGTTCATTGTCCAGGGCTTCTCATTACTGGACCTTGGTGGGGTTTTTTTGATGTTACACCACACTGTTCAACTTCAAATTTCTATTTTGGCAGTTTGCTTGGCTTGGGTATATTTATTTTTTGACACTGCAGGGCACACAGGTCACCTTTATCAAAGAGCAGAGCTGAAGGTAGATACATATTTTGCCAAGGCTCAATGTGTGATATTTTTGTTGAGATGCTTCTCTCTTTCAGAGCTGCATCTGAAAATGTAGCAAATGTTTCAGATGTCCAGGACACATCTCAAATCTGCTTCAGCATTTTCAAAGGGGTACCCCTGCTCAGCCAAAGATGAGAAGATTCTTAGGGGATGGTTCTTCTCCAGCTGGCAGAGCCCCTGGGCAGCTACTGGCTGAAATCTCCCCTCACCACAAACGAGAGCACTGATTTTGTCCTTTTCCTTCTCCAGACTCCAGTGGTGACTTTCCTGAGCCCCAGCCGTGGTCCAGAGTCAGGAGGGACAATGGTGACCATCTCTGGGCACTACCTGGGAGCTGGCAGCCGTGTTTCTGTGCTCCTGGGGAACCAGACCTGCGAGTTCTACGGGTAAGAGTTGAGCGGGGCCAGCACAGGCAGCTCACCCAGCACCACAGAGCTGCAAACATCCCTGCAGCTGAAATGTTCCCAGGCATCATCAGCACCTGCCCCCAGCCTGGCTGATCTGAACAAAATGTAAAGTTTATGAGAAAGTCTAGTCTCTCTTTTCATAGATCAACACTCACGTTACTTTTATTGCAGCCACTGCTGCAGGTACCTCAGCCCTCCCAGAGATGGTCTGAGAGAGGATGGGCACCTGTGTGGCAGAGCAGAGATATCTGCACAACCTTCTGCTGAGAAACCTGGACAGCCATCCCTCTCCTCTGGGATTTCGATGGCAAATTTGCTTTCTACCCAGCAGTGTAAACATAGAGTTGACATTTGCAGGGTTTAATGGGTTTTCTCGGGGCTTAGTTAAAACAAGATACATGCAGGATACATCTGTGTGCATCCCATACACATCTGTGCCCTGTTCCAGGCACTCATAGGCAGTTACTGGCACTTGGCTTCTCATAGGGTGGGTGCAGCCTGTGAGGGAACCTAAGCAAAGCGGTATGATGTTCAAAGGGGTTCTGCTTCTTAGATCCTCACTCAGGCTTCCCAGGAGGAACTGAGAAAGTCTCTGGGAATGTAAAGACCCCTGAAGGTGAGTTTCTCATCTGGAAGACTGAGAGTTTCTCTGATATGAGAGCTGTGGATGTTCAGACATGGGAGCATGTTGGGATATTAGCAGTGCTTGTTCTAGGTCCATCCTAGAATGGTGCTTCAGGAGGTCTGGACATGCTGAGGTGCAGGTGAGCACTCTGAGTGCTGAGCACTGTAACCAGTCCATCAACACCACTCCCTGTCCCTGAACCAAAGATGCCACGTTGCATCCTCAGATGCACATGGGAAACAGCATCACCACCAGTGGCCTGAGAGCAGAGTCAGCCCTGAAATCTAAACACCTAAATATCCCATCATGTTCAGGCAGACACTGACCAGCAAAACCTGGAGGAGTTTTGAAGTCTCTCTGTGTTCTCATTATAGCACGATGAGCAGAAACTTAAACAAAGCAAGTGGCAGTGTCTGAATGGCCCCATCCTTCCCGTGGGGTCACACTGTGCACTCTGTTTTTCTTGGACTGTTCTGAGGCAATGAACTTCAATTGTACTCGAAGGTGTGGGGGAGCCTGATTAGATGAAGTGGTTTCTAATGAGATTCACTCTAATTACAGCTTCCCCCGTTCTCCCCTCTCTGATCAGAGGAGTGGGTAGATTCACCATGACGACATTATAATAGCCCAGAAAGCTCATTAGCTCATCCCAGGGAGTGGGGAGCGGCGCTGCCAGCGCCGTGTGTCGCTCTGGAGCTCACACCAGAGCTAAGCAGGAGCCCTGGAGTCTTGGCAGGGCTCAGCACAGGCAGCTCTTCAGCTGCACGGGTGTGCACAGGAGCACCAGAAGCAGCAAGGAGGGTGGAGAAATGTTCTCCTCGCACAAGGATGCCTTTGTGGTTAAATGAAGCCTAGGTGGAGAGTGAGAATAAGATGAGAGAAGAAGGAGGAGGAGAGTGGGAAGGACTAGGTATGCAGTTGCATCAATAGGACAGGTAGGTCCAGTTGGTTTCAGATATTTTAGGAGGTTGTTTTTGTGCCCTGTGTTGTGGTGGACAAGTGTGCCAAGGTGTGAGCTGGGAGCATTGTGGTACCTGCTGTTCCATGTTCCCTGTGCTGAGTGATGTGCCCACATCCCTTAGGGAGGGTGGGGAGCATGTAAGGGCCTGGAAAGGAGCCTGTAGGGTCCCCTTGCCCAGGGAAGGAGACAGGAGCTGTGCTGGAAGCAGAGCAGAGGCACAGCTGCTCTCGAGCCCCAGCTCCTCAGGCACCTCCACAAGTTGTGCAGCCTCTGCAGAGGGTGGGGCTGGCAAAGACCAAGAGTGTCAGGCTTTGATTCAAGTGCCAAACTGCCAGCAAGGTGCCTGAGACCTGCCTGCCCTCTCCCATGTCAGAAGCCAAAACTAAATGAGCCATGGAAACAGCACGGCCTTTCTGGTGAACAGGGGTCAGGTTTGGGCAGGCAGGATGACCTGCAGGGGCACTGACCTTCCAGGGACATCACTCTGGCACTTCTAGGAGCAGCATCCATGCTCACAGCAGAGCTGTGCTGCTCCTCACGGCGCTGCTTGGATCTCGTTCCCCTTCTCCATCCATCCACCCACCAGCGCCTTTGTGCTCTGACAGCTCCTGGCTGCCCTGCCACCGTGACCTTCTCCTGGGCTGGGATGGAAGCAGATGGTCTGTTGTGTCCAGCCAGCCAGCACCGAGGCTGAGGTCACCCCTGCTCTGATGGGCAGACAAAGCCAGGAGGCAGCAGTGACGGTGGCATCGCCCTGCCCAGGCGGGGCTCGGTGGGCTCCATTATGCTGCTCACAAGGGCCTGTGTGTGCAGCGGGGTGGGGAGGGGAGGAATTTGGCTTTTCAGTGAGCTTATGCATCCCATTTAAAAAGCAGCCATCTGTTTTCACACGCCCAACAGAAGGCAGCGGGTTCACAGAGGGATGCGGGAGGCTGCAGCTTGGCACAAAGAGTCGTTTCAGGGAACTTTGCTCTTGGTGGGCAGGCAGAGTCCCCTCCGAGCTGCTGAAACCCCCCTACCCATCTCAGGAGCTCATCCCCTTCACAGGTGTCTGAGCCCAGGGCTGGCTGATGGCTGAGCCTTTTACTGAGCTGACACGACAAAGGGTCATTTTCTGCCCCCCCTGCTGCTACTGCCTGTTAATGTTTCCCTGGCTCCTCTCTGGCACAGGAGATCCATGAACGAGATTGTCTGCGTGTCAGCCCCGTCAGCCCATGGCCTGGGGCCTGTGCACGTCTCTGTCAGTGTGGACCGGGCTCAGCTGGAGCAGACCCTGCTGTTTGAATACATCGATGATCCCAAGGTGCAGCACATTGAGCCCGAGTGGAGCATCACCAGGTAACACAAGGCGCTGACACTGGGAGATGAGCCAGCCTGCCTGGGCTGAGTCTTCTCTCCCAGCACACATTCAGTGAGGGCAAAAGATGGTCTGTTTGGGAATGCACATCCCACCCAGCATCCTGGATTTGCTAGTGCTGGATGTCTGCAGCATTTGCATTTACCAAAAACCAGGTCCAAATTTACCAAAGTAGTTGTAATTACTAAGGCAATTACAGCAGTAACAGTCTGCATCGTGATTCTGGGAGCACAAATATTCCCCAAGATCACTTCTATCTGCTGAAGAAGTGCACAATTGCTCATTAACGGCCCCTTCTTGTAGTCCTGGAATAAAACAAATCCAGCAACCACCAATAAAGGAAAAGCTGATGCTATTCAAAATGTCCTGTTTATCCCAGATTCACTGCTAGGAGCAGGGTGGCTGGCACTGTCACTTCACTGTGGCATAGTCACTGCTAGAAATCCTGGGCCCTCCTTGTCCCCCGGTGTTACTTTAATGTATCTGCTCACAGGGGCTTTAACACAGCTATTCATTTCAAATTCCAATTATTTTTTAAAATTGCCCTTGAAAGAAGGAAGTGTCTCCCAGCAGGCTCTGAGAGGTGTTTGCTTTGAGCCCGAACTGAAGATCATGCCTGGTTTTGGGTGAGGTGGGTTCAATGTGGGGCTGAAGGGCAGAGCTGGGCAGAGGGGCTGTGGGGTGAATCTGGGCTGTGCTGCTCCAGTTAATGCATGGAAGAAGAAGCCAGGAGTGAAAGACTTTGCTCAGGGGCACAGGCTGTAGGAGAAAGGGGATGCTGTAGCCTGGGGGGTTGTGTCCTCTCTGGCCATGGTACTCTTCATCCCTCCCCAGCTCTGTGTGACAACTTGCTGTGTCTGCACCTCAGTGCCCTCACCTCACCTACCACTTATCATCTTCCTTTCAAACATCACTGTGTAAATCATTAAACACTGTGACTAATTTATTGTCTTATGTATTTAGTCTCAGCTCAATTGATTTCTTTGGTCCCATTTCTCATCCTGCTGCCTTGCAAGGATGTGAAGTGGGAGAAGGTGCAGCTGAGAGTGGAAACTCGTGAGACACCACTCAGGGAGTGGGTATCAGTCCCCTGCTGTCGCCTGGTGCCCCAAGTCTCTGCAGAAAACATCTCTGAGACCAACAATCTCCCCTACTGTCAAACACAGTCCCCCTCACAGCCCAGCCCCTCCTGCCCAGAGCATTAATCCGGTGTCTCCCTGTTCTCCACAGTGGATACACACCTCTAACTGTCACTGGCTCCAACCTGGACGTGATCCAGGAGCCAAGGATCCGTGTCAAGTACAACGGCAAGGAGTTTGTCAATGTAAGTGGGTGCTGTGGGTGTTGTGGGTGCTGTGGGTACGGGGCTGCAGGGCTGTGCCTGGAGCATCCTCGGCACTGCCACACCTGGGTCCCCCCAGGTGCACACTGTGGGGCTGGTGCTGGTGCTCTTGGTGTGGTAACACTTGCTGTGGCAAAAGCTGCTCTAGTGTTTCCCCAGACTTACCCAAATTGGAAATTCCCCCTTTCAACAGATCCCTGGAGCCTGGAAGCTCCTCTCTCCCCAGCATCCTTCCCTCCCCTAGCTCAGCCCTACAAGCATGTAGTGATGGAGAGCCCAGGTGTAGCTGTCCCAGTCATCCCCAGCTGCTCCTTGTTTCCCGGTTCAGTCCTGCTCTTGCTGTAAAAGCCAGGGCTAGGCTCTGAGGCCTGCCAGCTCTCAGGCTGCTGTGTTTATGTGGTCTCTCCTTAGCTGCCTCTCTATAAATAAACCTATTGCTGCAGTTCTGGGCCCAACAAGCCCGTACCAGCCTGGGGAGGGAAGAAGAGACAGGAACTGCTTCTGAGCAAGAAGCTTTCAGGCCATTTTTGCTGCTTTGCCATGTGAAGGATGCAGGGCATGGGGCTCCAGGTGTTTGGTGAAACTGGGTGTTATTTGTATGTCTCCTTCCCTTCCTCCTTCCTAACACCCTGATGTTCCCAAAGCAAGGAGGTGGTAGCAGAATTTGGGATTGGTCTCAGATGTCTCCTCCTCCTCCTATCTATTTTTTCAGTCCAAGAGTGACAAACTGAAATGAATCCTCAGCTAAATGGGAACTAAGTTATGTTCTTGTATGCTACAAATAGAATTGTACCTCCAGGACCCACAGAAAATGATTTGGCCAAGTAAAGCTGAAAAACATTGTTTCTATGCAGTGATCTTCGGCTGAATTTGTATTATCTTGGAAAGGGCAAATCACTTGGCAGTTGTTTCCTATTCCCACCTCCCTTCCCCTCTGACGACCTTTTTCATCTGAGCTCTTTTTAAAAAGACATCTAATTTTGTTGTTAGCAGTTGCAGTTATAGCATGACAAAAATAATTCTGAAGACACAAAATCGAGTGAAATTCAATCTCCCACTTAGGAAGGGAGGCCAAATGGTTGGGCTCTTGCTGCTCCATAAGGCAAGAGTCTCATAAATCAGTCAGCTTCCTGCTTCCAGAGCCAGAGGAGCTGTGGGTGTCCTCAGCCCAGCAGGAGATGACCTTTGTGTTACCTCCAGCCCACGAGTCTCAGATGATCATTCCTCTCCCTCACTGGCATTCAAGAATTGCCTCTAATCACCAATTTGTAGCAAGGACCAGGTCTGTGTCAAAGCTTAGTGTTGTCAAAGAGGATACAACTGGAAAGAAGAGAAGAAAGGGAGCTAAGTGATCCTCAGTGCAAGCCTCGAACTCCTTTAAAAAGCTCTCATTTTGAAGCTCACTCTCCACCTGTGCTGGTGCCTTTGCACTGCCTGAGGGGGAGAACATTCCCCGCCAACCTGTGACTGTAAATCCATCAAGCCTGGATTAAATATTTCCAGCTGAACTTGAATCTGCCGGGTGTTTCAAGCTGTCTGTAAGCAATCAGCACATCCTTGTGCAGGTTGGGATAAGCTTTTCCCTGCTGCAGGTCTGCAAGGCAGTGAACGCCACAGCGCTGGCCTGCCTGGCACCCCCTCTAGCCCCCCAGTACCGCCCCGGCCTCGACGCCATCGAGCGGCCCGACGAGTTTGGCTTCATCTTTAACAACGTCCAGTCCCTGCTGGTCTACAATGACACCAAGTTCATCTATTACCCCAACCCAACGTTTGAACTCCTGAGCCCGACCGGGGTCCTGGAGCAGAAGCCAGGGTCACCCATCATCCTGAAGGTAAGGAGACCCTTACTCACCCTGTGGGAAGGGGCAAAACAATCCCAGAGAGGGGAGTTTTATATCCCTCTTTGAGCAGGATACGCTAGATGGGATCCTGTCATTTGCACAAGCTGGGAATGAGAGGAAAACCAGGGAAATGTGCTGCATCCTTGTACAGTCTTCTCTCCCCTTCTCCCTAGGGCAGAAACCTGTGCCCACCCGCTCCGGGAGGAGCAAAGCTCAACTACACTGTGCTGATTGGAGAGACGCCCTGTGCTGTCACCGTCTCCGAGACCCAGCTGCTGTGTGAGCCCCCAAACCTCACTGGACAGCACAAAGTGATGGTGAGGGACCAAACACTCCTGCAGCATCCCTTCTCTCCCTTCTTCCCATCCTATCTCCTCCTCCTCCAGCTCCCTCATTCCCTCAGATGTTGAATGCAATTTCTTGTCCAAGGATCAGTAGGATTTTAGGTTCTTATGGCTGTCTAATTGGAAGCTTAAAATATTGATGTGGATTAGCATGGAGAAACTTTTCCCTCCTTGAGACTCACCACCTACTATCATAGCTTTCTAGAAAGAACAGATCTTTCTGGCAGGACCTTGGTGCTCCTTGCTCTTCCTTCCATAGGTGAGAGCATTTTCCATGGGCTGTGTTCTCCCTCCTGCAGGACAGGAGAGGATTTTATCAGGCCTATTCCTGAAGCAGAGGCAGCCAGGGATGTCTGAACACTGGACTGGTTGTGTCAATGACCTTGCCCAGGTTAACAGTCAGTGTCTTCCTCTGCTTTTGGTTCTGGGCATTGCTGCTTCCTCTGATCCACTCACAGACCAAGTATGCAGCTGCCCAAGTGCTTGAGTAGAGCCCAAACAAGGTTGTAGTTGTGGTTTATTTCCCTTTAAGTTCAGCATCCAACATTCATTCAGATTATCACAGTGTGGTTCACAGAAGCTCAACCTGGATGAGAGCTGCTTGCATCCATGGCCAGGGCACACACAAGAAAAGCCAGTCCCGCATTAACCTCTGGTGTGTTTGCTCTGTAGCTTCCACAGGGAGCTTTTTCTTGCCTGGTCTGTTTTCCCTTTCCAGTTGCTCTGGCTTCTTGTCAGTGAAATTATCACTGGGTTGCTAATGTCCACGTTTTACAAAAGGGAGTTGAAAGCTTATAAAATGAAAGTCAAATGGAGCCATCAGATAATAAGAACAAAGCCCAGATAGTGAAGGGCTGGCACATTTATCATGACTTGAAGCCTCCTTGTGTTCTCATACGCTGCACCCTCTGGTGTGTGGAGGCGACTGGAGTTGCTGTAGCCTTGGGTGAAGCAGAGAGGGTTTGATGCATCTTCCTCAGGGCCTGCGGGGCGTGTGGTCCTGGCCAGGGAGGACGGGGTTTGGTTCAGGCTGCCCCACTCACCAGAAGCTGCTGGTTACCTCCGTTGTGCTTTGTAGGTGCGTGTTGGTGGTATCATCTACTCCCCTGGCTCGGTGAACATCGTCTCGGACAGCCTGCTGACCCTGCCGGCCATCGTCAGCATCGCGGCGGGGGGCAGCCTGCTCCTCATCATCGTCATCATCGTCCTCATCGCCTACAAGCGCAAGTCCCGGGAGAACGACCTGACCCTCAAGAGGCTGCAGATGCAGATGGACAATCTGGAGTCCCGGGTGGCCCTGGAGTGCAAGGAGGGTCAGTGCTGCCCAGATCTGTGCGCTGCAGCCCCCTGCTCTGTTCCCTGGCTTTTCCCACCAGAGCACCCCAGCCACCCTCTCTTGGCAGCAAGGAGCAGGGTGCATGTCCCTGTGGGGTCTGCCCCACCACGGGAGGGTGGGCAGGGACACGTGTGTCAGCATCAGAGAATGGGATTAGAGCTTGATCCTTCTGAAGTGACGGGCTGGGATCGCAGTGCAAGGACAGCACGAGACCCAGGGTGCCTGGCACAATGTGCCTCCTTGTCTGATGGCCTTTTAGTAAAGAACAGTTAGAAAAGCAGTGAGACAGGGAGCAGGGGAGGTTCGGACTCCCAAGAAACAGTGCGTATCCCAAATGGAAGCCAGGAGAGCTGGAAAGCTGATCCAGCCCCTCCTCCAAACTATAAGTTGTGAGTCCAGAGGAGCAGGAGCAGGTCTGAGGGATAAGAAGAAGCTCCTCAAGTGATTGCTTCTGGGAGATCTGGTGTCTTATTTGTTCTAGCTGGACCTGCCACTTGTGGATTTCAGCACACACAAGTCTTGTCCCTTTTGAGGAGCTGGCTGAGCCTCTGGGCCAGGCAACAAGGGCAGAGCTGGGCAGTCCATGCTGGAGCTGGTGGGCTGAGACCAAGAGCATCCTCAGAGGGGATGCTGCTGTGCTTTCATACATCCTTCCAGCTGCAGGGGAGCCTAGTGGAGCAAAGAAAAATAAACAGAAAGCTGAAGATTTTATAGTGTGACCTCTCAGTAGAGAGAGAGTTGCATTGGATTTGTTCAGCTGATTTTTAAGAGATAGCCTGGAAAGCACAGGGCAAAAAATGAGACACAGTCAGGAGAAACCACAGCTCAGCACAGCACTGTCCAGCTGCCTGCAGAGACCTGGCTGAGCCAGCCTTTTACACGTTGGAGAGTGAACACAGGGACACACATCCAGCTGCATAACCTGGTGATGCTGTGTTACCAGAGGAAGAATAAATTCCTTCCTGACCCCTGCAGCAGGCAGGTTCTGCTTGGATTTGATCTGCATCGGATTTGATAATCCTGGCAACTGTTGATAGAGGAGGAGGAAGAAAAAGGAAAACATGGGAGGTACCAAGTTACAGAAATAGATCCTCATTTCTCTCCGCAGCCTTTATAAAGGTGTTTTAGGTGTGAATACACAGGTGTGAGCTGCATACAAATGAGTAAGCATCTTTTGTTCTCAGCATTTGCTCTGTGCACTGTGTGCTCTCCTGCTCTGAGCTGCTGAGATGGAGCCTCAAGGGGTGAGGGTCTGTCTGGGCTGCACAGCAGGGTCTCCTCCCAGTCAGTTCCTGAGCTGGCCCATTGATGGTTGCAAAGAGCCCTCCCCAAAGCCTCTGGCTGCAGCCTCAGCTCCCAGGGCTCACCTCTGCTTCTCTCTCTCACTCTGTTCTTCCCGAACAGCTTTTGCAGAGCTGCAGACAGACATCAATGAATTAACCAGTGACCTGGACCGCTCTGGGATCCCGTACCTTGACTACCGGACCTATGCCATGAGGGTTCTTTTCCCTGGCATCGAGGACCACCCTGTTCTGCGGGAGCTGGAGGTGAGAACAGGCTCTGCTCTGACCATCCAAGCTCTCCTGAGCACTTAGGGAAGGCAGCGTGAAACCCTGAAGTACCTTCACACACCAAATCTTATTAGAGACACCAGGATGAGCAGGGTGAGCCCCAGTTCATTTTAACTAAGGAGCTGGTGGTTTATCTCCATGCACACTGCTTGGTTCCTCTCGGTGTCTTCTCCCCTGCGTTGCTTTAGTTTCATCTTATGGGGCTTTATGTTGCTATAGGGCAGCACCAAAGCGTGCCAAGTAAGTTATCAGTGGCCTTTTGAAGTCCTTAATCATGTCATGGTGCAGGGGAAGGCTGTGCTCCTGGGAGCATCCTGCTGCTGTTCCATGGCGTGTCCACAGGAGGGCCAAGGCACGGCCACCTGCTGGGCTGGGCGAGCTCCTTCTTCTCCCTGATTTTTCCATCAGTATGTCTAAAAAGGTACATAAGGTTTTTCATTCAGGATTTAGAAGAATCGTTAACCTGCAAAGGTCCATCGGATCACCTTGCAGATGGGCCCTGCTCACTTGTGAGAGGGCCAAAAACAAATTACAGTGCTTCAAAAAACATTCTCTGCCACTGAGCGTGGAGCAGCAGCCCATGCACTGCCCTGGGATGCCCAGAGGCACCTGCCTGAGCTCTCTCCCAGTGACTGGCATTGATCCAGCAATTCCTGGAAGTCCTCTTGCCTTCACACAGACCAGGGGATGGCCCAGATCTTCAGCCAGAGCTGTCAGAGGAAGGTGTGTCAATTGCTTGTGCTCCAAACAGCTCCATGGCTTTTCCAGGTGAGCACTGCTCAGCAGTGACACCTCCAATGAGATCCCTTTCCTGTGGGCCACTGCACTGAGCAGTTGCTGTGGTGCTGGTAAAGATCAGTAGAGTTTGAACCAGCCTCTCCCAGCCCATTCCCATGCCCATGCCCTGCATTTTCCAGCCCTATGCTTTATGTTCCCTCTTGGAATTGCCTGGTGCTCTAGCAAACAAATATGAATCCTTTTTATTTGTTTTGCTCATGAAAACCAGAATTGCAGAAGTGATAAATGTGTTGCCAATTACACAGTTGCTTAATTATGTAACGTTAGTAAAACCAATACATAAGTCTCCAAGATGTTTGGTAAAGAGTTGCTTAATGTAGTTCATCATTTTCACTTGTAATGAATTACTTGAATCTGCAACTGGCTGAAAGCCTCAATTAATTTTTTACACTTGTCTCATAATATAGCAATAGTTTAAATTAGTACTTAATTTACTTACAAGAGTGTCACTTTTTGTGCAGAACAAGCAAAATTGTGTGTCATTTATGGGGCCGTTAGCCACGAAGCAGCAGCTTTATGGTGTGCAGGGTACAGCTCACAGCACTGATTATGGTGAGGTGTGTTGAAGTGGAGGGGAGGACAGGAAGAGTGTTGCTTATTCAGGACTGACCAAAGACCATGTTCAGGGATGCTGAGACCCCAAGAGTTGAGGTCCTTGCTTGTGCACCCAGGTTTAAACCATTCACCCCACCCATAGTGGTGGCAGTGACCCCGTGACAGTGCAGGGCTGCCCTTCATCCCTTGTCCTCCTGTGCCTTGGTTGATGCACATGCTCTCCTCCACCACAGGTCCAAGGGAATGGGCAGCAGAGTGTGGAGAAGGCCTTGAAGCTCTTTGCTCAGCTGATCAACAACAAAGTTTTCCTGCTGACCTTCATCCGCACCTTGGAGCTGCAGCGCAGCTTCTCCATGCGTGACCGTGGCAACGTGGCCTCACTCATCATGACTGGCCTGCAAGGGAAGCTGGAATATGCCACTGATGTGCTGAAGCAGCTGCTCTCTGACCTCATTGAGAAGAACCTGGAGAACAAGAACCACCCCAAACTGCTCTTGCGCAGGTAACACAGGGGGACAGGTGAGGGACAGGGCTGTGGGCAGGTCAGTGTGGTTTCCTGGGCTGGCGTGGCCATGCTGCTGGTGGCATTCAAGGGCTCTGTGGGACCAGGGTGCTGGTATCAGAAGGAAAAACCTGCTTTCCAGCGTTGGCCTTGGGTGAGCCCTCCATTTCCCAGCCACGCTGCAGGGCTTGGCCTGGGGCAGGAGGGCACCTGCCCCGTTGGCTCTGCCCGCGGCTCCACTGGCATCTCGCTGAGTGAGCGGGCGAAGGCAAGGGGAGGATGTCACAGCTCCAGGAAAATTTCAGGGATTCGTCCAGCCATGATGAATATACTTGACAGGAAATTGCTTTAAATCTGGCTGTGTTTGTGGAGGCAATAACTCATCTCGGAGAAGGAAGCCCTCTTAATTTCCCCCGTGGTTTGACAAGTCGCTGGGAAGGCATCTTCTGCCTCAGCCATCAGTAACGACTTCATGGTGCTCCAAAAATACCTGGCTGGTGATCAGAGCTGTGCCTGCTCCTCCTGTAGCACCCAGCAAAGAGTCAGGGCCATGGGCTGCACCAACAGCCTGGAGGCTGAATGTCCTGTGCTTGGGTTTGGCCACTTCACAGGGCACTCATGGCTGAAGTCCCTGTCCCAGCCCTGTGCCTGAGGGCTCCTGGGGGCACAAACCAGCCTGGGCTGGAACAACTCACTCTGACTTAATAAGGAGTGATCAGCCACAAAGTGAAATACTTTTCTGATATGTTTTGAGCTCTCTAGTGGCAGCAGTTGATAATTGGAACTCAGTTCTTTCTCTCTTTCTTCCTCATTTCCCCCTCTCTCTTTCTTCTACAACTACCCCTCGCGGGAGACAGCAAGAAAAGTTGACAATCAATCAAATAGCTGCTTTGGTTCCTGGCACAGAAAAGCAGCACACAGCAGTTCTGAGCCCTAGATAGAGCAGGGAAAATTAATAGAACACATATTTACTTTTTGGGGTTCTCTCAGCTCTTTTAGTTTAGTCTTGTTTTATTCCTGTGCCTCAGAAAGCCAAGGCCCTGGCTGCTGGCGTCAGGCTCCTTTGGAAAGTCATCTCTGGATCATGCTTTGCCCTCATTATGTGGTTGATGCGAGAAGGGTTTTCTCCAAGTCTAGGGATTCTCCCCCGCCGTGCTAATCTTCAGAAGCTTATATTTATTTTTAGAGAGAGATCTGTAACATCTGAGCAGCCCAGGGAGGGAGGGCAGCTCTGCCAGGGGTGGCACAAAGCCCTGCAGCAGCTCTGGCTGGGGCTCAGCAGACCCCTCCTCGTGTGGTCAGGCCCCATGGGGACAGGCAGAGATTAAGGGGTGGCTTGGCCAGCCAGTACTGTCCCCATTTCAGAGGCAGAGGAGGTCAGGGAAAGAATGCACAGCAGACGTGTTTGCAAGGAGCCCACAGAGCTCCTGCGGCTGCCCCCGGCAGTGATGCAGGTTATGAGCAGCCTCTTTCCTCAGCCAGGGTAGGACTGTGATGAGTAACTCAACTGCTGGCTGTCCCCAGCACTGATGCACTGCAAATACCTCGTGGCATCAGCTTGTGTTGAGAGGAGAGTGAGATCCAGTGCTTGAAGGTAGAGGCAAAATGGGATTTGACAGAGATGCTCTGAGGTGTTTCTTTTTTTGCTGTTCCATTCAGGTGATCTTGTATTTCTGATAAAGAATTGAAAGGGAACAGCAAGGCACAGGAGTCTCCAAGACCTTTTCCCACACGATATGCCCCAACTTCTCTGTCACTCCATATTGCAGTTATTTTTCTACTGGTGGTGTCAGGCCATGAGAATCCACAGGACACAGCATAGTAATGTCTCTATCACCCCCGCTGGTGGGGCTGATAGAGAAGCTTGTCAGTTCTCCATTACATACTCTATTAACAAAGTATTTTGTTAAGTTAATATTCACCCTGAAGTTCTGAATGTATCAGTTTCTGAGTTTTTCCCCTCTTCTCTAGTTGGTATCACTGCATCTCCATCTCCCAAGCCTCGCTGGCATGGCAGTGGGCTGGTGCTTTCCCTCCTTAATTGGTGGACTGAGGAATTTCAAACAGGAGAACAATGTGTGTGTGTCAATCTGTAAGATAAATTTTTAGGCAGTTAATCAATTCAGGCTTAAATTCTTTGGGGATCTACAGACATTTTCACAAATTCCTGGCAGATGTTGTGATCCTGAGAGATGATGGATAATGTGACCCCAGGTCCCTCTGCCGACTGGCGTCAGGTTTTGTTTGTGGCTCCCATTCATACTTGATCTCCTTAATTCTGTGATCAAATCCTGTTGCTTCTATACTGTTTTTCATTAAATGCCAGAGTTTTCAGACATGTGGGATGCTGTATAAATGAATGCCAAGGGGCAGGCTTTTATTCAAGGCAGCAGAGCAGATGAGGGAGAGTGATGAAAAGGGTTTGGGACTGGGACGGTGACTGGCTCCAGGTCAGGGGCTCAGGCATCACCCTGCCCGCTGGGAATCTCCTTGGCAGACTGGTGGCCAAAAAGGTGGTTGGCAGGGATGGCACCAGGAGCAGAGCTGTCAGGAGAGGATGAAGGTGCAAAGAGGTGCCCAGAGCTGACAGGGCCACTGCCCTGCTGCAGGCTCACAATGAAGGTGTGGGGAGGAGGGATGATGCCCATAGAGCAGGTGCTGGAGCCACCTCTCTTAAGGTGCTGAAATTTGGCCCAGATCCTGGAATCATGCATGGTCTGGGGGGATGGCTGGTAGCCATGGCCAGGCTGCCCCAGGTCGTGTTGGTAGCTGCAGAGCTGGGGCTCAGGTGGGGAGGGTGGGACACCTGTCACCAGCACAGCCACCCTCTCCTAGGAAAAGGGATGGCGGGGTTTTCAGGAAAATCTCGGGTTCCTGCAGAGCCAGCATTAAAATCTATCATTAGGAGCCATTGTATTTAAATTAAAGATAATCTTGGGCACAACATGGGGAGAGGACGCTGGGTGGGACTGGGGAGAAAGCTGCAATTTCCCTGCCATTGTCACTCTGCTGTCCCTGATTTCCAGCAGCCGCTGCAAATCCCAGTGATTTACTGAGCCAGGCTGTAATTTGCACCACGTGCAAGACACTGAGTGTCACCAGGCTCCCTGTCACCAGCCCCATCAGGGCTGTGATGGGCTGTCAGCTGGGCAAGCTGCTGTCAGCTTGGTGCAGGGGGGGCACAGCTGTGGCTGCATCCTGGTCTGGACCCCCTTGATTCAGCACCCAGGAGCTGTGCCAGGGAACAGCCTGCTGCTGCCACCCAGGGACATGTGGGGCCTCTGATGCATGGTTTGGTTTTGTGCTTAATATGTGTCTCCTCCTGGCTTCCCTAGGACCGAGTCGGTGGCTGAGAAGATGCTGACTAACTGGTTTGCCTTCCTTCTCCACAAGTTCCTCAAGGTAAGGAGGTCTGGAGCTGAGACCTGGTGGCTACTTTGCTGTCTGAGTCACCAACCATCCCTGGGGTGAATCTGAGCTTGGAACTCTTCAGTCAGGCTTCAAATCACAAGATGGAATTCAGGGGAGGGGGAGGTTTGCTCAGGGATGCCTCCACCTGGGGCTTCCATGGGCTGTCACAGCCTCTGTGCTCAGCCTTCTTTACCCTGCAGGTCCCTTGGTGTTATTTTTATGTAAGGCATCTCTTTAGTACTTTGGAGAAATTCTCACGTCTCTGTGCCTGGGATTCCATGTTTTTAAACTTTATTTGTGGTTTTGGAAGCTCCACAGAATTTGCTTCATGGGAGTGAACAATGAGACCAAGGTCTCAAATTCCTTTTTGCAGCCATATAGATTCAGTGGAGAAGCACCAAGCCAAAGACAATGTACCCATTGAGCAGCAGAGCTCATGGTTTTGGCTGTCCTCTCCAGGAGCTGCTGGGGGCCAAGCCTGGACTCCACATGTGCTGAAGATGGAGTCCATGGGCCTGTGCCTCAGCTGCAATGAATCATGTGCAAACTCTGTGCAGGCCAGAGGCCCTGGAGGAGCTGCACCTTCACCTCTGTGTTAGTTTTGCTGTCTATCTCCTTGTGTAGGAATGTGCTGGAGAGCCACTCTTCATGCTCTACTGTGCCATCAAGCAACAGATGGAGAAAGGTCCCATTGATGCCATCACAGGAGAAGCCCGTTACTCCCTCAGTGAGGACAAGCTGATCCGGCAGCAAATTGAGTACAAGACTCTGGTGAGTAGATGCTGTCATTGAATCATTTCTGTCCTCCCCTAGTGGATGGGAGCTGTGCTGACCTTCAGGCCAGTGATTAGGACACTACCATGAAGCACAAGCGTTGCCTGGGCAATGAAGCCTCATGCTGTCAGACCCATCCCCGAGCCAGCTGTGTCCTCAATTTGCAGGTGCAAATGGTCAGAGCTGAGGTTTGGAAAGGCAGAATTTTGTCTCCCCATTGAGCATTTTCCTCCCTCTAGCAAATGAAAATGGACATCCAGGGCTCCTATCTTTGTGGTCGTTGTGAAGATGTACTAGATACAATGACAAGGATGCAAGGAGGGGTGTTGTGCTTTTTTTATGGGTTGTTGTGACAGATGTGGTTACAGTTCTCCTGGATGTTTGTCTGAAGCTCTTAGAGCATGGTGGTTCTCCTCCTCTTCCAGATCCTGAACTGTGTGAACCCAGATAATGAGAACAGCCCAGAGATCCCTGTGAAGGTGCTGAACTGTGACACCATCACTCAAGTCAAAGAGAAGATCCTCGATGCAGTCTACAAAAATGTCCCATATTCTCAAAGACCAAGAGCTGTTGACATGGATTTGGGTAGGAGGCCCTGCCCCATGGGAAGGGGATGATCACAGAGGGTGTTGTTATCAGGACTGTCTGTGGGTTTTGCTGATCTTGAAAGCTAGAGCTCAGGCTGCACAAGGCAGCATGGTAGCTGCTCCTCCTGGATCAGTTCTGAGCTCTGTATCATCAACCAATTTTCCAGTTTTCCACAAAGCAAATGATTCCTGAAGTGTCCTTCACTCTGCTGAGCACAGCTTCTCCCCAGGCTTGTGTATTTTACTCGAGCTGGGGGGCAGAGGGGCTGGGATGCTCCTGCACCTTGGATCAGCTCAACACTGCAGAACATTCTGCATGGGAAGTGAAAAGCTGCACTTTGCTGCAAGAAAGTGATCAGTGTCACCTTCCTTGGAGTTATAACATTTAAGAGCAGAATTTAGGTTTCTCTGGATGCCTCTTCATGGGAGGGACTTTTCAACAGGCTCATCCATCCAGTAGTTGCTTGGACCAGAAGTGGCTGGGGGTCGTTGATGCCTTTTCTCTCCCTGACCATCATGTCTGGTTTTTGCCTCTCCTGCAGAGTGGCGGCAGGGCCGGATTGCTCGGGTGGTCCTGCAGGATGAAGACATCACCACCAAGATTGAAGGAGACTGGAAGCGCCTGAACACTTTGATGCATTATCAGGTAAGAAAGCAGCCCCAGACAGCTCCCAGAAAGCTGCCAGGAGGGAAGAAAAGCAAAGCAGAAATTTAATTCCCAAGTATCTCATCAGCGAAGACAGGCAGGGAGATCACATTTGTATGAGAAACCAGAAGGGTTCAATGTGCTTATGCATTAGACAGGAAAGCAACCTTGACATGGATCTTAAAGAAACTGGCAGAGTTGAAAATTGGCTAAATTAAAAGCACCAGCCTTGCTGGTGAGATAGAGCAGAGAAGGGGGGTGAGCTGCCACGGCCGGAGACACAGGACCAGGGGAGGGGTGAACCATGGGGCTCAGGTCTTCATGTGAGGGTCTGAGGCAACCAGGGGTGCAGCAGGGAAGGAAGAAGAGTCTCTGGCTTCCTTCAGACCTTTTCAAACCTCACACAATCAGATGGTCTGATCCAAAGCATCAGGCTGCATTGGTAGCTCGTCTCTTGAACTCATGATATTCCTGCAGGAGTTTTGCCACTAAAGTCATACAAGAAGGAGCCAGTGAAGATGCTCCGTTGTGCTTCAGCCAGAGTGGGCCAGGTGACCTAAGAAATTGTTGTCATCTTTAGCTGTTCAGCTTGCATGTCCCTGCTGCCTGGGATAGGTGTTTGTTGGGAAGGGCTGCTTATGGTGTGTGAAAGATGGAAAGAGAAGAGAGAGCTGAGGAATGTTTGCTGAAAGATGATCAGAGGCTTTTACTCAAAGCCTGTCTGCAGCAGAGGATAACTGCATTGACTGGGACCTGGGACCTACAGGTCCATCACTACCTACACAGAAGTGTTTAGTATTTAATCTGGCATCTCTCCCTGTTTATACACCATCCCCAGTCCATCAGTGTGGCCCCTGCTGTGCAAGCTGAATGTGAGCCAGTGTTGACAGGAGCCATATAATCAGAGAATGAGGAAGAGTGAATGGCATAAATATGCAAAGTACATGTAAAAAAGCACCCTGAGGGTCAACTTTCCCAAGCAGCCTGAAGGACTCCGACACAGATCACTATCAAATGTCACTGGAGTTGTGCAGATGAATTCAATTGTCTCTAAAATCTGTTTTACCTGACAGTTGCAAGGGATTAACCAACATGCAGGGAAGCAGGGAGACTTTATTATGCCTTGATCTTTAAAAGTCATCTTAAGAAAGCCACAAGTGGAAGCCGTGTTTGTCTGGTGTGTGTTGGGTGCTTGGGGAAGGAGTTACTTTCATTTTAGAGCCTGTGGGAAAATCTGAGCCACAAGTTTACCCTTAAAATAAACACAATCCTTGCAGCACTCAAGATGCTGCAGCTATTCCTGCCATTTGAATGTCAGTTCTGCTCTGGAACAAAGTAGAAGTTTGCTGCCAAACACCAGACAGGTAGGAATTGCACATGTCCCTTCCCATGCCAGCCCAACAGAGCTGGTTCTGCCATAAAAAAGAAGCCAAGTTCTCTGTGCTGCAACAGCAATCTTGTCAAGGCAGGGATTTTGCCAAAAACAAACATATATATCTTTATATAAATATAAACATATATATATAAAGATATATTTTTTATTTTTTTTTACTCTTACCAGCTTTTTTTTTTTCATGTTTGAGTAATGAATGTTTTTATTAGGTATCAAAACTACAGATGCTCCAGGATCACACAGTAAAACAAGTATGTGGGCAAAGGCCCAGCTTAGGAGAAGGTATCAAATTATTCCAGTTCCAAGCGCTGCTGTCTCACCAGTTTACCAGGAGTGTTACACAGAAAGCCAGGGTGGTTCAAGCCATAAAAATGAGGTGTAGATTTCTTCAGCTTCTGGAGGATCAGTGATGCTGGCTCCTAAATTCTAGAAAAAAATAAAAGCTAGCTCTGTAAAGCTCTCTCCATCTTTTATTCAGAGCTGTCTTGTCTTTATTCTTGGTCAGATGCTATCTACTTTTATCTGCTGATCTGCAATATTTTGGAACCACTTAATAGAATTATCTAGAGACCTCTCTGCCCTCTGCTTATTTCTTCATTTATAAAAGCAGATTTATAAGTTAAATAGATGTAATTCTTTGTTAAATTCTGTGGAGCTTTTAAAATGAGTTGAAGGGATTGTATTACATTTGTGTAGTATCCTTTTGGTTTCATGCCCATTAAACTCCATGGGTGAGTCTCACCCCACGTGGCTTTACTCAAGAAAAATGAAACACTGAATTTAATATCAAATGATTTACAGTGGCTCATGCAGGGTTAACTCCGAGGCAGCAGAGCATGAATTACCTGTCAGCCACTGCAAGCCTGGAAGGGCCAACAGACTAGAAAACTATTTTAAATGAAAAATTAGAGGCAGAGAGGGAAGATTTGTGAGGAAAATGAGCCAGGAGCTGAGGGTGGGGGGGCTGGGGAGCCTGCAGCCTGGCTGCCCCCTCACTGCCCCCCACACACCGGGTCATTGCCCAGGCTCCTGTGCTGCCACTTTCCCTGCTACAGGCTTGATTTTGCTTTTCTTTAAGGTGTTTTGTGCAGTGTGTTTCCAGCTTGTAGAGGAATCAGAATATTTATAAAGCTGTAAAACAGGAAGCCAGCTTTGCAGGCATCTCTGGGGCTTTATGGGAGTGTGGCAGCAGCAGAGCAAGATGGGGAATGAATGTGTGTTACATCTGATGCTAATTTGTGTGCTGGTATTTTTTAGCTGACAAGAACCATTCAATCCAAAATTTAGAGAGTGAGAGTGCTCTGTGTGTGTGTGTGGAATTTTTAATGCCTCCCAGTTAGCTGCAGCCCTGGTGGAATCAGATCCCAGCACAGTGGCCAGGGAGCTGCTGCTGCTGGAGCACCCTGGGCTGCTCCTTGGGTCTCTCCCTGGTGAGATGGAACTGAAGTGGCAGCTAATAACAGCCTAGGAATGTAATATCACCACTAATAGTTACTTTCATTGACTTTATAAATTGAATGAAGTGAGGCAGGAGCAGAAGAGGAAATAACAGAGGTGTTTGAGGTGTTCTGCTTAGAAATATCTCACTTTTGTAGAGTGAAAAACAAGTGGCTGCTATTTCCTCTGTCCACAGCAGTGACAGCAGCAACCCACATCTCCATGGAGCCTTTCAGCTGAAGGGCAGCCAAAGCTTGGAGGCAGCAACCACCTCTGTGTGCTGGGGGAGCAAAACCCAACTGCTGCCCTGCAGCTTCCCTGGGTGCAGGGACAGGGTTGAGTCCTTTGCAGGACTCCTGGCAGAGGTTTTAGCCCAAAAAGCCAATTCTTTGGCACCAAGCAGCATTTCTTTGCCTGGGCTTGATGGGTCCATCAGCCTGCAAGATCTGGTGACTCCACTCTCTCCTCCCTTGCCATGCTGCACCACGGGTCATGAGTTCAAAATTAAAAGACACTCAGGCCCTATCCCTGGAAACCTGCAGATTCTTAATTAAGGGAAATAAGTTTAAAACTGTCCAGTGACTACTAGATTTATAGGGAGGATAAAATTAAACATGGCTACTAAAATCTGCTGTAACAAAACCTTGTTAACACTAATGTTCATTTATAGTTTGACTTCCCAGAATTTAATTCCTTCTCTGGTGCAGAAGAGGGACTGACAATTTAATACCCTGAGAGATGGCTTTCTGACTCACTCAGCTGTAAATCAAACTTTTAAAGTTCATAAAAATTGCTAAAATAAAAAATGGTTTAATAG